TAAATTGTTTGATAAGAATTATGCATAGAAATATCACAGTAAAATAATAAACATTTCATGTTATAAACATGAATTAAAGCAATTAAATATGAAAAGAAAGTTTAAAATTATTTTATTATCAAATGTAACATGACAGATACATTTCTATAAACCTTTACATGAATACTCCTATTAGAATAATAATTTTATTAAAATCTTTTATTATTGCTATGTTAGTAAAAAATGGAAAAAAAAAATTAAGGAATTCATACTCATAATAAGTAAAACTTAATGAAAGATTAACTAATAAATTAACTTATTTTTTTTGTGTGAGTTTGATTCATTTAGATAAAAAATTTAATTAACTTTTTTGGGAAATTTATTCTTTATACGTAAATTTATGAGTTTTTATAATGTTTAATTATAATATTAAATATAAATGTTTAATATTATAAATAATTATTGATATTTAATAATACATTATTATTATCTAATTAGTAGGAATATAATTCATTGTAACTATATATGTTACTTTGTATAATACATAATTTTTTTTTATATTTTAGCAATAAATGTTAATTTATATATTAAGAATCTTTATGTCATAAATATAATATTTTAATTTTAAAATATATCATAATGTACTTAAAATAATAATTATAATTTTGTATCGCATCGTATCAAATAAATGACGTGATTATAAAATTTTATTAAGTAAAGTTTTAGTAGTAAAATATTAATATTATAATAATATAGTATGTCTAATAGTATATGAATGAACTTTGATTGAATATCATAAATCATGCATATAACTAATCAAGTTCTTACATAAATATATATTAATAAGAGATCAAACTGAACATGATAAAAATATCATATGGAATGTTAGTGATTTTTTAATATAATTACAGTATGTGTAGCTTTTTTATTTAAATTCTCTTTTGCTTTAATTGAGTTAGGATATTCATAAGGATAAGAATTATAACCAAGAGGAGAGAAAAAATGTGAAATTTTTTCTTGTTTATTTTATTATTAATAATATTTATATTATTTAAAAAATCTTTTTAATTAAGAAAAATATATAATTCAATTTTTTATAATTATTCCTAATATAAATGAAGTATTTCTTTCTACTATCTTTTTTACTCACTGAAACAAGCAATTTTTTTTATTTAACTCATCTAAATAATATATATATATATATATATATATTATATTTATTATTTTCTTACTTATTTTTTTGTATCTATTTCTCCTCTAACTCAAGTATATCATATATTTTTTTATATACAAGGAGCTTTATATTTTAATCCCATCAAATGTAACAAGTAACAATATAATCATAAAATCTCTCTTACATAATAATAGTATCTATAATCTTTTTAATATAATTACATTATGAAATGTATAATTATACTTAGTAAAACAAATGAGATATTTATTTTAAGAAAGTTTATTTGAATATTAAAAAAATAAAAATTAAACTTTATAAGATAAAATGTTTGATATTTTATATTTAATTAAATATATAGACAAATTATACAATATAATTTATCACATTAATAGGTAGTGTCAAATTAATGACACATTTATCATTTTAATAATTGTAATGCATTATTAGATGTCAGTTATTATTTATGATATTAAAAATAAAAATTATATTTATAGAAACTATAAGGTCATATTAAAAAAATAAGTCTACTAGAAAGATTAAATTATAGTTAAAGTAAAATTGTTATCTAATTTGGTTAGATTAAAAAACAATAAACTTAGGAATTAAATCATATTTTTTTAGAATTTTTTATTTTATAATCACATTATGACTTTAGTTTTTCTCTACTGACTATTAGCATTGTGACCATTCAAGTCTTCTAGTGAATTATTTTTATAAATATCTAGAAAAATGTAACTTTGATTGTTTCATTTATAATAATAAAGTAACCTTAAAATAATTTGTTTGATGATATGTTGAAATGCTTTTAAGCAAGATTTCACATAGACCCTCAAGAATTGTTAATATTATATATATGATTCTTAAGACTAATCTGCTCCATAAGCCAATGCCATAGCTCGAGGAGAACATGTCGATCGATCTTTTGAGCAAAAGGGAAAATATGTATTAATTCAATGAGACGAAAAACTATTGATTGGACTAAGATAAAGAGCAGTGAATGGGCATGGTTGTCAAGGTTGCTAGCCTTTACATGGACATTTGTCTCTGTTGTATTTTTTATATTTACAGTCGTGAGTTATCTTTAGTAGAGGTTTTAGTGGCAACATTCAAGTCCAGTAAAAAGAATATAAACATATACCTCTAGTTTATCTTTTATTTATAATTTTTTTAACATGCTTATATTTAATATAAATAATTTATAGGTAAAATCCGCAATTTATGAGATATAAAAATTTAAAAAACTAAAATCAAATTAAAAAAAAATATATCTTACAAGTATATCAAATTACACGAGTTAAACTAAATGGATGACACACACATGTAAGTTTTAACAAAGTAGAGAAAATCTCAAGCTCAATTCTCGTTCATTTTTGCAGCTACACATCACAGTGACACAAGTTTATCATAAGCTAAAGTAGCGAAGCAATTTGACCTCACTCTCCCCTTCTCTCTCTCTTATTTCATGAAATGGGAAATATATTAGAACTAATATTATAGTTTAACCTGAAAATAAATATAATAGGAGTATGAGTTTTTAACCTTTACAAATTCCAAGTTTCGTTTCCATGAAATTTCGAGAGGGCTACTTTATAGCCAAGAAGCATTTATAAAAACTAAACAAAATTCAGCCCAATCCCATAAAAAAGGAAGCCATAAATCAATGTTCAAACACTTAGACTCCCCGAACATTACGTGAAGTAAAAAATGAAACAATTCATACTCACACTAATAGATATCCAAATTGATGCCATTTCTCAAACAGGGTTGCATGGATCGAAATCGATTGTACTAACCACGAAGTACGATTAATAGAAATATAATTTTATTAATTAAAAAAAGAATTGGAAAGAGGAAAGAAAACCAAGGCAATGTGATGTCATATGAGAGTGCAGTAACACAAATGAAAACACAGAAATTAAGCAAAAAGGGATTAGATGGCCCAAAATTACCCTAACGAGTAAGAAAACAATGTGCTGAATTCTTACCCTGACGAATTGGAATCGTAACCAAAGCACAAAACACAATACATATATTAACAACTTTCAAGAATGTACATTTTGAAATCTGAACTCACTCAATTGAGAAAGAAAAATCGTGAAGTAATGATTACCAAAGTAATAACTGAAAAATGCACACACGCACAAAGGAACAAAAGTTGGTCAGAGAATAACGAGACCGAGAAAAACGTAAAATTCACATTAGATCGAAGGCCAAATAAAATCAGAAACAAAAAAGAATAAAAAGGGAAATGTACACTGAATTAAAAGAGAAGTAACTCAAGAGAGGAGTCAAATTAGAGATAGGGGCACGCACGAGAGCACGAAAGAGAAGAGTGGATGGAATTACAATGAAAAATGCAAATAACAGGGAGAAGAATATATATATTGAATAATTTTCTTACACTGTTATAAATTTAAAATTTTTTATACTAAATTTAAGTTTTTTATTTAATTTAAATTTAACGATTAATAAAATAATAAATTATAATTTGTTAGATTTAAGTCAAATAAAAGATTCAGATTAAATATAAATTTTTTTAGACTTATAATAATGTAAAAAGATACTACTTATATATGTTTTTTTATAAATATTAATTTTTGTATTAATTTAACTATTAAATTATATAACACTAATATGTTGATGAGTTTTAGATAAATCAAATGATCATAATTATTTAATTTGAAATTCATTTTTTATATTATATGCTAATATAAATAATAAAATATCAATTAATTTTTTATTTATATAATTTTTTATATATTTAATTAATTAAATAATATTTTTTAATTTAATAACTGAATCGATAAAATTTAATATCTATAAGAAATTATATATTGAATTAATATTAATAAGGCTTATTTTTTAAATTACCTTATTTTCACACGTATATAAATAAACACACAGAGAAATTTTTTTAACGTATAATTATATTAAATTTAAATATTTATTTTTTGTTTACTGAAGAAGAAGTTATTCATAAAAAAATGATGAAGATGTTACTGAATAATTTTTTTTCAAGTGAACTAATTTTTAAAGATTAGAATTAAAATTTTTAGATTATTCGTGTGACAGTATGATTGAATAAATCTATAACACGGTATATGTGTACGCAACACAACGATTTGGTTTGAACAGTGCAATAAATAATAGTTGAGGAACACAAAAAGGAAAACAGATCAAGAGGGACAGACAACAGAGTACAAAGGATTAAAGCAAAGAAAATAAAACAATAATAATAATAATAATCTTTAGAAAAAACCCAAAAAAACACAGAATGAAACAATGCACCCTAGGCTTATCTCCTAAGCTACGAATGCTTTTTATTATTTTTAAATATTTCTTTTTTTCCTCCCAACGTAACAAAGTCTTGTCAACCACCCCCAACACGGAGCCATTACCGGTTTCGACTGCGCCCCTTATCACTCTTCTCTCTCTTTCTTTCTCGTCTCTTTTCTTCTCTTCTCTTCTCTTCTCTTCAACTCCTCACCCTCCGTACGACACATCATGTGAGCGTTTCGCTGGTTTCTCCTTTGTCCACGTTGTCCATGCCCCGGTGCAGCCTTCTTTATAGTTTTTTCACTTCACTACCTTAACTTTTGCTACCTCTTTCTCTACCTTGGACCCCAACACAAAACGTGACACTAGTGTTGATGATTGTGTTGTCCTTAAAAACGTTCACTACCAATCTTTAAGTTATGTTAGGGTTGAGGAACCATTAGGGTTTTTCTTTTTCCTCATGTTTGTGAGTAGTGGATCAAGTGGTTGAAGCTCTTGTTCAGCTGGGTTAATTAGCTGAGTGAGAGAGAGTTTTTTTGTTTTTGTTTTTTTATATTAATTTGAAAAATTAATGGAGGAATACACTAATAATAATCACCTGAGCGAAAATACAGGTCCAAGTCCAAGTCCAAGGCCAAATTTCTTGTACTCTTCAGGTACTGGTGGTGGCAATCATCATAATCATCATCACCACCATCACCACCATCAGTTTCCAATCAACACCTTTCATCTCCAATCGGGTGGATCAGATCACTGTTTTCAATCTGATCAGGTGGCACCACACCCGTCTGTGAAAACTGAAGCCAGCACTTCACAGCTTCACTCCCCGATTTTCCACTACCCTTTAATGAGAGGAACTCTTCACAACACTTCTACCACTATGCATCCCCAACAAGGAGGTAGCCCAACAAACTCTAGTGAAGTTGAAGCCATAAAAGCTAAAATCATTGCTCATCCTCAGTACTCTAATCTTTTAGATGCTTACATGGATTGCCAAAAGGTACTCTTCAATTAATTAATTGCTATTATTTTCAATTTTCACTACAATAATTTTAGCAATGAGTGTGCCCCAATATTTTATATAAATTTATATTTATAACTCTTATTTTTTTCCCCCTCCTTATCTCTTAACTATTCGTAGATAGGAGCTCCACCGGAAGTGGTGGCGCGTATGGTTGCGGCGAAGCAAGAGTTTGAGGCGCGGCAACGATCTTCAGTTGGCTCAAGGGAAACTTCAGAAGACCCTGAACTTGACCAATTCATGGTGGGGGTTTAATTTAATTGTTATTTTGTTGCGGTTTTGAATTTTTTTTTTCTTGCTGTTTTTTGGGCTTTACTTTGGTATTGTTGGAAAAATTTTGAATAGTGGGTGTTAACTTTAACCGCAGGAAGCTTACTATGACATGCTTGTTAAGTATAGAGAGGAATTATCAAGGCCTATACAAGAGGCAATGGATTTCATGCGAAGGATAGAAACTCAGCTAAATATGCTATGCAATGGACCCGTGCGGATCTTCTCTGGTACTTTATCTTTCTCTTTATAGAACACAAGAGGAGGATCCTATTCCCCTTCCTACTCTTTTTATAAGCGTAATAACATAGATAACCTCCAACTTTTGTACCCAAAAATGTATTATTATAATAATTAATTATTTCTAGATTACCTAACACTTGGCTATGGGTGGTATGTGCCGAGCCACAAAATTTTGAACCCGGTTCTGCAATTCTTGAAAATCGAACACTCGAGTGTTTTCTGTACTCTGAGCCAGGAAACTTTGACCAAAAATTTTACCTACAAATCGTAGGGGAGGAGAAGGGACCCGACAGTGGAGATGATATTTCATCAAGCACAGAACCCTAATAAGTAGCCTATATAATTTTATATTTTTATTAAATAATAAACTACGACATCTTTTATTTTTGCTTTCTTTTCAGAGATTTGACAAGTTTTATTTTATTTTTATATATTCTATTATAGTATTGTCCATTCTTCACGACTCCAGATGAGCTTTTGTATTTTTATATTATTAGTATTTTTTATTAAAAAAACCCAAATTCACACGTTCGCGTCTACTCCGCTCCTATTTCCCAAGTTTCTGAGCTCTGACAAATTTGATTCTTCTAGGGTTTCCTAGTTAATCCATTTTATATAACTAAAACCTATTTTTGAGTAAGCATTTCGGTGATTCATTCATTGGGTTTTGTGGGAAGACATTCTTGCACTGTCACTGTGTCGCACGCACTTCCCTCATCATTCTAGTGCTCAGTTTTCGGCCGTCTTCCAGCAAATGCCGTTTTAATCACGTCTTTTATTCTTCTTTTTTCTCCTTTTGCATCGTTGATTCCAATTAATTACTGATAAACACATTGGATGCTGTTCCAATCCTCCGCATCCTCGAGGATACAGTATGAATCCATCTTTACTCTGATGTTTTACACATCCAAATGTTCTTTTATCTAATTAATATCTTTTATTTCTTTTACTCCTCTCGTTATAACGTTAAGTCACTTATTATATTCAGTTTCTTTTTTTATCTGTAAATATAAATATCTATTGAGGTATTTATAAAATATTTTTTTTTAATAGATGTATAAAACCTTTTAGATTTCTTATAAAATAATTATCAGTATATATTTTAGTTTAATTAAGAAATTAAATTTACTTTATAATATATTAATTATGATTCTTTTATATCTTTATTTACTATGAGATATTTATTTAAATAATTATATATAAATGTTTAGTAAGTGCTTTATAGTTTGTAATAGCAGCCTAATATACCTGGTTACTGATTTACGCTCATATCTACTGTGGTTATTTAACATATTTTGTCGCACCCTACTCTTGTTCACAAAGTAGACGATGAAAGATTCCACACTCTGGGAGATAAATAAAAGCTTCGTTTCTTAATATTTTTTTAGTTGTTATATGGCTTAAAATTTCATGATTAACGCATGTCTTTCCAATGTGAATCACAGGCTGCTCGTTAATTTCATGGTGATGATCTAGTTATATCCAATATGGTTAATGTGGCGAGAGCTTTTGCAGCCACATTAATTTTAAAGGACTTGTGCCTAAAGTATAATAAACACGCTTTATAGTATGGCTCATTGTCGTATATTGTTAAATACATGACTCATTGTTGAGGAATAAATGTGCTCATTATATTCAACGAACCGGTCTTATGATTGGAGGCAACTTATATTACTTGATTTACCCAAAAATTTCCATACTTGACCATAGAGTCTCTTGAGGGAACTAAAGGAATGAAATAGAGCTTCAGACGTGTTTACAACATTGAAATGAGTTAAACTTATGGGCCAGGAAAAAGGAGTGGACTAATTTATGGTAACCTATCTACATGGTAGATACATAAGAAGATAACCGAAACAACCATTGTAGTTAGTCTTAGAGATATATACTCTATTCTTTCTTAAATGAGTTTTAGTTTCAAATTTTGTGTATAGAAAAAATCTCCATTGAAGGGAATTAATTTGATCATGTTGTGAATATTTTAAACTCAAATAGAATTGGTGCTTGTAGACTAAGTTAAAAATGGCAAATAGATCAGAAGTGGTTATCTCTTTCTTTCTCCCCAAGAAATAATCTTTGCTTTGAAATAATCCTGTGTTTTAAACCATTTTTCAATAGTTGAGTTCCTTTTATCAATTCATTCAAAATTCATTTAGCATTATTGCGTATGATATGATATAATGATGATGATGATGACGAAGCACTTAGCAGAATGATTTATTAGTTCCATGGTGCCAAGGCGTAGTACTTACAATATTATATGTGCCTTTTCTCTTGGTTTTCATAATGGAAAAGGCATTAATTTAGCATAAAATCGGGTTAAACAGCCATGGAATTAATGTTAATTGCACTATTATTATAACTGTATTAGGAGCTTCAGAACATTATATAAGGCAGGTGTACGTCCTTTCTAATTATACTTCACTCAGACAACTGTTCATCGATCATATATAGTTATGTTTTTCACTTGCATCTTTACTTGGTATTTTTCTAATAAAATGTACATTCCTCAAGTTTATAATGAGCTTGCTTAGACATTGTTGAATGTCATCACTTGTTGAGCAGATGATAAATGTGAAGGTGTTGGTTCATCGGAAGAGGATCAAGACAATAGTGGAGGAGAAACAGAACTGCCCGAGATTGATCCCCGAGCAGAAGACCGTGAACTTAAAAACCACTTGCTGAGGAAATACAGTGGTTACCTAAGTAGCCTTAAGCAAGAACTTTCCAAGAAAAAAAAGAAAGGGAAACTACCTAAAGATGCTAGGCAAAAGCTACTTAATTGGTGGGAATTACATTACAAATGGCCTTATCCTTCGGTATGTGAATGATACACTCTTTAATTTGTTCTCATCAATTTATCCTACGTCTTGCTGTCACTACATAAGGAAGGAATGGAGAGTAGATTTATTTATTTTTTATAATTATATTGAGATGGATTAGTAATCACAAGAGAAGTTCATTAATAACATTTTTTTGAAAAGAAATTTTTAATTCCTTAATCAGTGTTCTAAGAGCAACACTAATTAGCATTTATCATTTATCTTTGAAATTTATGTTTCAAAAAATTAATTTCTTCTCTTCGTGGATAATTATTCACTATAGGAATCAGAGAAGGTGGCATTGGCTGAGTCTACTGGTTTGGACCAAAAGCAAATAAATAATTGGTTCATAAATCAAAGGAAGAGGCATTGGAAACCATCTGAAGACATGCAATTCATGGTGATGGATGGCCTGCATCCACAAAGTGCAACTCTCTACATGGATGGTCATTACATGGCTGATGGTCACTACCGTCTAGGGCCATGAAATGATCCACCTTATAATATATTTTTAATTATTATAATTTAAATGCAAGGTATGAGCGTCTCATTAACAAAGAGACTGTGTCACCAAACTGGATTACAGTCAATGCTCTAGCTACTAGTTTCAATATCAAGCATACCAGGAACTTCAATTGGTTGCATGTGCTTGTGCAGTGTGATGAGTAGTTTGCCATAGTGATCTTGTACTTTTTTTTTAAACAATGACCGTTGCTTATATTTTCAGCATTAGTAGTATATAATTCATAAGACGTGCTACATTTGGATTTTAATATTCTAAGGATTTAAGTAGGTGCCTCTGTCGTCGCGCTGTAGTTTTCTTTGATTGTTTACCCGAGTAAGTGTGTAACTTTGTGGTGTGATTGGTGTACGCAGAGAAGGAAATTTGCGATTCGGAGATTCTGTAACATATAAATCAATGTCTCTGTAAGGAGCTATCAAGCTTTTTAATTAAGTGTATATGACTATGACATATTCATCATGAAACTTGTGATGATTTAATGTTAAACTTGCGGTGTAGGTCTCTTGTGCTTCTTAATTAGGTTTTCGCCCACATTATTGGATATTTTTGTTAGGACGATCTATGATTATAATTATTTTTTTAACCTGTATAATATATTGCTAAATTTAAAGAGAGTACTGTATGAATAATTTTTTTTTATTAAAAACTATAAAATTTAATGTAATTAAATATATTATTATTATTAAATACTATAATTTTCAACAAAAATTTATCCAGTGTCATGATCCACAAGTTAAAAAAAATTGTAATTATAAATCGCTTTCACATTATAAAAGAGAATTATAAATCCCTGGGCCACTGACAAATATACGAAATTCTTCATGGATATAGTTTTGGAATTTGTAACTTAAACTTCCACGTGATTGATGTATTTTAACTTATTAAAGTTTTTCTTTTAAAAATTTTGGTATGGTAAAAATATTATTAATTAAAGTACAAGGTGTACTTCGAAAAAGCTTCTTAAATATGGAGAGTTGCCTGGGTAGTTGTCTTGGCAATAAAGTTATATAAAGAAATCATAACTTTGAATGCAAAATAACAAATTATATTCATCGATCATCAAACATGTGATGGTCAAGATTAGGCTGCCATATAAGGACACAAACGAAAAAAAAAAAGTAAACTTTTTGTGATGAAATTAATTGTCATTAAACCTAAGTCATCAAGCTAGTATTGATTTTTGTGATGTGATTTTGAAACATCAATAAAGAAAGTTATCATGTAAAAAAAAGAGGCAAGAAGAACGATGATGTGTTATGAGAAGGTTTCTATTTTTTTTGCAGCCAATGGACCTATGTATTATGGCCTATGGTGAAGAGAACAGCGAGTGATCGTTTGCGAAGGAAAACAAATGAAGAATAATGCGAAGGAGAGAGGAGAGATTTCTTCCTTTTTATTTTGAAAAAATTAACGTCCACAAATTCATGCTGCTAACATATTTGTGAACCATTTTAACAGTAAAGATAATTCTATTTATCTTCTTAAGTAATAGTATTCACTTTACAAGAAATAGATCCTTTCAAATACTTTTGTATAATTGTTAATATATACAACGACCACAAAATAATTAAAACGCAAAATATATCAAAATATCATTCGTTTTGCTAAATACACCGACCAATAACAACAACAATAAATAAGTTAAAACCAAAAAAGTTGTACCATAACATATTTTGTTTGCTTCAACGTATTTTCGTTATGAAGATTTTAAACATTAATTAGCAGGTATTAAATTAGTAAATTTTGAATCTCTAATTTTATATATATATATATATTTGTCCATTAATATTTTTTAACGTAGATTTTCATCATTATTCATTTTTTAAGTTTAAGATTAATAGCATGTTTAGTCATCTAGTTTTTTTTATGTGCAATTTCTGTTTTAAATTATTTTTTAGCCAATTATATCCTTTTACTTTTAAAATCTAGCAAATATAGTTTTTTCATTAATTTTTTAATGTAAATTTTTATATTTTATTTAAAAATATATATAAACTGAGTAAACTGAATTGTCTTGTGATTATAATTGTTTAACGAGAATATCATATTTTATTCAAAATAAAAAAATTTCCTTGTTTAACTTTTCTTATTAGCGAAGAAGAATGAATATGTCAGAATAAAGCACAGGACACCTAAACCCTTATACAATATCATAAAGTTTGAAACTAAAGAAAGTCACCAGTTATTCAAGTATAACTAAAGATTTTTAATTCAATCTAAAGTAAGTTTAAAAAATTTTATATTTAATTTATATTTAAAAGGTTATAATTTATTATTTTATTAACGTTATATGTAAATTACTGTAACTTTCACTTTTAAATTATGAAAATTGTTTTTATATTTCAATTCTATTACAAATTTTCAAAAAATTGAGTAAAAAAATAAAAATTAAAGATTTAAAGTAAAAAAAATCAACATAAAAAATGAATTTGTATAATTTTAAAAATTATATAAGCTTAATTAGTTAAAAAAATTAAAAACCCAAATTTTATATTGTCTAAACTAAAAGAATTAATAATATAATTTTACTTAAATAAATTATCTTTAATCGATCTGTTCGTGTGTGTTTTTTGTTTTTAATTATTATTGTATTAGTTATTATTTAATTATAGTATCCAATTTCTAGCTTTAAGTAAAACGTTTATATTGGTTGCAAAAATGGTAAACTATTTTTAACTAAAAACACAAGAGATAACAAACAAAAAGAATATCCTTATGTCCTCGTTGTATTTTCACTTTCAAAAGGCGTACTCTACAAAGATTCATTTTATTTTTTATTATGCAGTAAACATATTATGGAAGGTCAAATAATTTATATTTGATTTCAAGGCTATGCCACAAACAATTTAACTATTTGAAAGAAGAATTTTTTTTTCATAATATTTTTATTCAATTTGAATATAATTATTTTTTACGGAAGATATCTATGATTTAGATAAAAAAATTTATAATTTAATAATCTACTTTTAATAGTATGTTGTGATTATAAATATAATTTTTAAAATATTTAACAAAAAAATAAAATTTAAAATATAACTAGAAATTGTAATTAGTAAAAAAGTTATTAATTATTAGCTTGTAAATTAATGTTGTGTAAAAAAATAATGGGTGTTTATTATTACTCTATCTAATATTTGTAGTATTATTTATATTTAAGTGATTTTAGCCTAAAATACTTTGTTTTTAATATAATTAATAAATATTTAGGAGGATAATATACACGTTCGAATAACAAAGCACATATCTAAAATAGTTTATTTATTTTGATATTAAATAAAGCCAAACTTATATATATATATATAGAGAGAAAATATTTTCTTATACTAGTGTAAGTTTAAAAACTTTTACACTTAATTTGAATATTTCATTTAACTTATATCTAACTGCTAGTAAAGTAATAAATTATAACATATTAAATAAAAGGTTCATATTTGGTGGAAGAGTTTTTAAACTTACACCAGTGTAAGAAAATCCTGCTCTATATATATATATATATAAGAGACATATCAAGTGACAGAAATTTGTTATTACGAAATATGAAAAACATTAATAATAGTTACTGAATTAAAATAAAGAGCTTAGATTTAATATTTTTACTCTCTTATCTACTTTTTTTCTCTCTCTTTAGTACTTACATGTACAAGTTATATATATTCGTCTGGTTATATAGTACTTACATCGTTCTTGTTTTTGGACAAAAATATTAATCTGTATGCAATGCAAAATTCATTTGTTAACTTTTGGATGGACTTACGTTTTAGGCTTATTTCAGCTCTAAAAGGTTGGCTCATGCAACTTCCGAAGACTATATTGGTTGGGCCGAGGGTAAGATAACCAACGATGTCTAATGCATGTACAGCGCACACGGTTACGAATTTTAAATAGACATTTAATGCATTTTTAATTATTTTTTTTTTAATTTTTTTAATTTTATAATATATGTTTACTGCACAAAAAATTAATAATTTGAATTAATTGAAAAATTATTTATTAAAAAATATTTTATACACTTATATTTTTAATATTTAAAATTGATCTTAATAATTCATTTTTATATTCTTCTTACATATTAAGTTTAAAAAGGTGTTCTAGTTATTAAATTTTTTACCCATGTCCCTATAATTTCAATGCATTAATTTTATTTTAAAAAAACACGTTATTTTTTAGATATATTAATATTATTTATTGATTAAAATTCTAATTTTAATTAATGAATAATATCAATAATATCAAAACTATTGAAGTTAAGATTTGTCATCATATATTTTCTTTTGGACATGGTAGATACACGGTTATGTATTTTTCTGACTGAGAAGGATGCGGACGAAGACAAAGAGAGAGTGACGAATTGGAGGAACATGCTAAGGTTAAGCATTTTTTTTTTTTCATTTTTTTTTTATCTTTTTTATAAAAATAAAAATATTTCATGTTCCATTGAGAAGTAGTGTAAATTTCCATATTAATTCATGAGATTGTAAGTATTGTATAAATTACTTTCTAAAATTTTACATAAACTTATTAATCAACAACTTTGTCAAAGTTTACACAATTTAATTTAACTAACAATTTTTATTATAACAAATAATATTCACCTTTGTTGTTATGTGACATGTGAGATTAGGGGTGTTTATGAATTTTGTTGACTCAATGAACTCAACACAACTCAATTAAAAATTAGTGGGTTAGTTCGAGTAAATGAGTCAGTTTGAATGAAAATATTAGAATCTAATGAAGTATAAGTTGGATCATAAGTTTGTACTGCTAAAATCCAACCTAACCTAATGACCCATATGATCTTTTTCCTATTAACTTTGCACCATTTGATTTTTCTTCAATTTGTTTGAATTGAAAAGTTGAAAATTAACAAGTAATTTAATCTTTCAAAATTTAAATGTTGTATATTGTTCTAAGTTGTGAGATGGATATTGAACTTCATACTTTATAATTTATAAGAGGTTATCAAA